CTTTTATTTATTTATTTATTTATTTACTTTTGAGACGGAATTTCACTCTTGTTACCCAGGCTGGAGTGCAATGGCGCCATCTCGACTCACCGAAACCTCCGCCTCCTGGGTTCAGGCAATTCTCCTGCCTCAGCCTCCTGAGTAGCTGGGATTACAGGCACGCACCACCATGCCCAGCTAATTTTTTGTATTTTTAGTAGAGACGGGGTTTCACCATGTTGACCAGGATGGTCTCGATCTCTTGACCTCGTGATCCACCCGCCTCGGCCTCCAAAGTGCTTGGATTACAGGCATGAGCCACCACGCCCGGCGATTCTTGAATATTTCTAAAAAAGTAGAGCTTAAATTTTCTCACCACACAAAAAAGTGGTAAATACGTGAGGCTATAAATATATTAATTAGCTTGATTTAATCACTGCAAAATGTATACATATAGCAAAACATTACATCGTACCCCATAAATATATAAAACTTTCAATTTGTCAGGCACTCAATAATATTTGCTGAATTTAGTCAGTCCAAAAAAAAAAAACAAAACAAAACTTTTAATTTGTCAATTAAACCTTTGTAAAGCTGAAAAAAAAGATTCTTTTTTTTTTTTAAGTGTATCCTTTTTTTTTTTTTTTTTGAGACAAGGTCTCACTCTGTCACCCAGGCTGGAGTGTAGTGATGTGGTCACGGCTCACCGCAGCCTTGACCTTTGGGACTCAAGCAATCCTCCCACCTCAGCCCCCTAAGTAGCTAGGACTACAGGTGTTTTCCACCATGCCCAGATAACTTTTAAAATTTGTTGTAAAGATGGAGTTTTCCTATGTTGCCCAGGCTGGTCTCCAACTCTTGGGCTCAAGTGATCCGCCCACCTCAGCCTTCCAAAGTGCTGGGATTATAGGCATGAGTCACTGCACCTAGCTACGTGTATCTTTAAAAAACTGCTCTACATTCAGTATAGTGGGGGAAGCACATTCATGAAAAAAACAAAAGAACTCCCAAGTAACGTAAACCTGGTTTAGAGGCAGGCACAAAAATAAATAGCCTAATAGTTAATAATTATTTGTGAAGAGAGCCAGAATAGGAAAAGATAAACATGTTTAAGTAACTCATCTAAAACAGGGATGAGCAGAACTACCCTACTTACTTCATAGGTTTGTTTGTGAAAACATTTAAACACTATTGTAAACTATGCAAATTTGAGGTGACCTTTTGCTGCTGATGTGCCATTAATATGCCGAGTATTTTTAGGAAAAGAAAAAAAAATAGACTTTGCTCCCTCTCTTTAATGCCAGCATTGACCTGTTGATTTTGCCTTCTATATCCCATGATTTCACCCTAGAGAAGTGTCTAAGTCAGTTCTTTTGGAGAAACTCTTGCTGGGTCAAAAGTCAAATCCCAGTGAATATGAATCAGTCCCAGAGAGTCATGTACAGATCACCTTTTTAAAATCTGGGTGCAGATGAAGTGTACTTGGTACATCTGTTACAATAGCCATCCCCTCACTATTACAGTGATTATCTCATCTTAGTTTTATTTCTATTTTTGATGTGAATGGCATTAGTAATTTAGGAAATAAGTATATACTGTATTACCAGAGTAAGAACTGGAAGAATATGGAAATGATGTGTCAATAATAATATGGAAGTCACATAAGACTCATTATCTCAAAGATTTTTCAGTTTGAAAAAAAGAAATATAAACATAGACAAAGATAAATACAGACAAATATATACATTAGAAAAGAATGTTGAGATGAAGAGGCGGAGCAGAGATGATCCATCAGAGAATTAGTGGGAATCTGTTTAACTAGGGGCATTCCTCGAAGGGCAGAGGTTAAGGAATGAAAAGTCTTGTAGAGGCCGGGCGCTGTGGCTCACGCCTGTAATCCCAGCACTTTGGGAGGCCGAGGCGGGTGGATCACAAGGTCAAGAGATCGAGACCATCCTGGTCAACACGGTGAAACCCCGTCTCTACTAAAAATACAAAAAATTTGCTGGGCATGGTGGCGCGTGCCTGTAATCCCAGCTACTCAGGAGGCTGAGGCAGGAGAATTGCCTGAACCCAGGAGGCGGAGGTTGCGGTGAGCCGAGATCGCACCATTGCACTCCAGCCTGGGTAACAAGAGCGAAACTCCGTCTCAAAAAAAAAAAAAAAAAAAGAAAAAAAAGAAAAGTCTTGTAGATAATAGGCCAAAGGTGAGTAGGCCATTTTCTTCTTATTATTTTAATCCAATTGGTAAAAGTAAGAATGTAGGAAAGAAAGTAAAGATTTTGTTTGAATGGGAGAAAAAGAGACTGGCTCCTACGAAGCATATTATGTATGTTTTTGTATCCAGAGGAGGATAAGCATGTAGGAAATGGCTACTGAAACACACTTTAGCCAAAGCTCAAAGGTACTATTTAATCTGAAAGACAGCAAAGACATAGTGTAACAAATAAATCCTATGGCCCATAGAAAGGTTAATGGAAGGCAATCAAGAAGACTTCAAGAATCTAGGATCAAAAAAGAAAAAGGGTTTGGTGGTTGTTACAAAGGTGATAGGCATAGGAGGTTTTATATCACTCTCAAGATCTTACCATTCATAATGAACTTAACTGTTACATAGGAAATCCCAAATGAGAAACTTTTGTCAATCTCTAGTAACTCAAATACTTATTTTTTAAATGCAAAAATTTAACACTCATTTTTCTTCAGCTTCTTACTATTTGTGTCATTTTTTTAAGGTAATTAAGGATTTGAAAATCTACATTTGCTAGATTGAGAGAAGGATAGGTGTCCCAAGGAATCTCAAGATCAAGTTCTAGTTCAAGCACTTTGTCTGGAGGCTCTATTGGGCCCCTCCCTGACAGTGGAGTGCACTGTGACTCACAGTAGAGGTCTGTGTAGCAGGCAGCCTGCACAGACCTTGTCAAGGTGACTCGGGTTACACGTGAGCACTGAGAACTCTATAGCTACTGCAGGTAAATAGTCCCACCAACTTTTGTTCCCACCAAAAATATATCTGCTGATATATTTTAAATGGTCTGTTGTTAAATTTCCAAACAGACCATTTGGTCTCTACTTGAGTTGTTCCCTTTAAGCAAATGCATAATGCTCTAGTAGTTTTTAAAGTATTTGGTCAAGCATGAAGCACTGTAGAAATTTTAAAAAATATCTCTGTGGTGCTTGAGTCTTTTTCATCCCTTAGGAGAGGGGAAAAGTTGTTAAGAAAACCCTTTCTAGCAAAGATATGGAAACAAAAAATTTAAAAAATAAAAAAAGAAAACCCTTTCATTTTTCTCTCTTGTTATCTAACACCATAAGACCAGCAGCACCTTTGTCAAATCTCAATGTGAATGAAAAAAACTATTATTCTAGGGTTGGCAGGAGCATTTGTCTGATATTTTCACGTTAGTGAACTGAGTCTAGTATTCCTATTAGGTGTAGGAATTAACTGTTGAAAAATTGAACTCTCACTTTTTCACATACCAACATTAGTTCATTAAAACCCTTTCAAAATGGAACCTGATTTACCTGTTGTCTCATATCTTCAAATGTAAATTGCAAAAACTACCACCATGAATTCCAAAACCAGCTTGGATAAAAACTCATTCAACTCCCTGTGTCCATAAATTGTGGTTCTGTGTCTGTTCTACTGAAAGCACCTTTGTAAGCATATTATAGTAGCATCTATATTATAAATTGTAGATATAGGAAAGACTGAGGTTTTAACACATTATTATGAGTTCCAGTAGCATTAGCCATATACTATAAGTGAGGATAGAGACACACTTCCAGAATTTGGATAGTGTTCAACTGTTTGTTTCATAGTCCATTATTATAAGATTCCGTAATGCCTATAATTTTGTTTCTTGACACCTCTGTAAGTATATTACTCATATATTTCAGATTTCTCAGGATGGCCTTGATTTTAAATATTTTGCTTATTGTCAAATCATGTGTCAGACAGTATATCTTACTTTCTGTTTTAAAAAATACATTTATGATAGCTATAAGTATAGACATTCCCAATTTCCTAGAAAAGGACTATAAATTTTATGTGAACTCAAGAGCTGTTATTATTAAGGAGAGACTATAAAGCTATGACAAATTTTTAATTTAGAGTTTGTAGGATTCATTTCATTATTCCTAAAGTAGAAGTAATTGAATCATAGTTTTTTGAGAAAGAAAACTAGATAACTGTTTTGTTTCTTTCAAGCTGATGTTAATATCTTTAATAAGTATATAAAAATCTGTTGATGAGGTAATAAAATTCCTTAACACTATAAATGTAATGTTCACTTTTGAGGACTGGAAATACATAATAATTCATCTTTTTATTTGCTTATACAGTTTTTAAAATATAACTTGAGATGTGCATCTAATTACTGCTAATAGTGCAATGTACCAGGCCAAACATTTGCCGCTGACTGTCAAGTGTCTTTCTGATGCAGTTGAAAAGGGGGAGAGAGAGAGAGAAAGAGAGAGAGAGGGAGAGAAAGGAGAAAGAAAGAGCAATGTCCCTTGAGCAAGACTTTCTGCAGCTGTTGTGTACATTAATCCAGCGAGCAGATCTCCCAACACTAAATATAGCAAGCATATCCTTTTACATGATAAAAAAAATTTTTAATGAACATCTTTATGCAGGCATATTATTTTGGATTCAACTTCCTTGAAAAAGGAAATGGGCATTGCATACATATTCTCTATATAAACAACATTCTTTTAATAAATGAATGTGTGGAAAATGCCAATGAGATATGCATCATGTCACAACTTCCTCTATTGAGATATTTTTCCTTAGGAACTCAAACAGGCTGTTATCTCTGTGAGTCTCATCAATCCCCTTCAAAATCTTTACATGTAGAAAGCTTTATTTTTCACTTAATTTCATGTCCCATCATATATAATTAGATAGTTATCCTAGGCTTCATTTCAAGTAACAGTAATGAGTTCTTGGAAATATTCACTTTTCCGCTGTCAGTTCCCTGTTATCAAAACACACTTGTGAACTTAAATCTGGATATTACCTTTCTTTTTTCAGTTGACCCAGATGAGGATGTCCAAGCCAGGCACTCCACTGCAATGATAATTATCCAGGGAGAACTTTTAGATGAAAGCACAGGAGAAGAGGAAAATTCTTCACGTCCTTGGAAATAGAGAGCAGCCGTCCATAGAGAGTGAGGAGTTAACCTTAGTTTCAGTGAAGATGGCTGTGAGAAGCTGGACAACCTGTCACCACCGAAGCCAGAGCATTTGTCAGCTCACAGGTCCCAAGTTATTTTGAGCTGTATAGACCATGTGCCTGTGAAACATTCCACCTGATTGGACAGGAGAAAACTGAGCAAAGGGATTCCATAGCAGGACAGCACCTATGGGGGGTGGGGGTCAATCAGTTCTTCTACCTATAGAATTTCCCTTATAGCTAGAGGCCCAAGTTATTTATTGATTGATGTTTGGAATTAACACTAAATGCATCAAACCACAGTTCATCAGTCAAAAAAAATGGCATTATTTTTCAATGTATGAAAACTCTTAATTTTTAAGATCTTTAATTTTAATCAATAGGAAATTTACTCTTGTTAAATCACTGATACATTTTAGGAAATTTGACTATGAAAAGCCAACACAAAGCTAAGGTCTGACATTTTAAAGTTGAGAGCTTTTTTTGAATGGTTTGCCCAAAGGCTAAGGAAAAGCAGAGAAGGTAACTAACATTAAAAATTCCTTGGCTGGGTGTGGTGGCTCATGCCTGTAATCCTAGCACTTTGGGAGGCCGAGGTGGGCAGATCACCTGAGGTCAGAGTTCAAGACCAGGCTGGCCAACATGGCGAAACTCCATCTCTATTGAAAATATAAATATTAGCCAGGTGTGGGGGCACATGCCTGTAATCCCAGCTACTTGGGAGACTGAGGCAGGAGAATCATTTGAACCTGGGAGGTAGAAGTTGCAGTGAGCCAAGATTGTACCACTGCACTCCAACCTAGGGGACAGAGTAAAACTCCATCTCAAAAATAATAATAAAATAACAAATAAATAAATAAATTTGAAAAAATTAACCTGATTGCTTAGTACAGATTAAATGGTGCTATTACATAATTAATCATGGTAGAAGCCAGGACTTCCTGGTGTGGGGGAGCCAAAAAAAAAAAAAAAAAAAAAAAAAAAAAAAAAAAGAAGTCAGGACTTTGAAAATTCAGACTTAAATGATGGTTATTATTCTTTAAAAGGATCATTCTTGGATTCTGATAGCATGAAATATATTGGTTTAAATCTAGCTTTCTTAATTAAGTCACAAGACAACTGCTTATAGGGTTTCTTCCTAGTCATTCATTCATTTGACAATTATTTACTTAATGCCTACGCTGTACCAGGTACTGGGTATAAAACAGTGCACAAAATACACAAAAAATTCTGACCTCATGGAATTTACTAAGAGACCGTTATCCTCTTCAGTCATCATGAGACTATTTATAGTACATTGAATAGATATAAAATTTCTTTGTTTATTGTGATTGCATTGGAGGTTTAATTATACCTTTTAAATGTAATTTTATGTTTACACAGGCAAAAAAAAAAAATGAGGAACACTTTTAAATAATCCAGATTAAAATAACTGATATTGAGGAGAGTACGGGAGGAAATGAATTCTCCAGATAAGTTATTCTCATTACTGCAGTAATCCAGAGCTTTAGTATACAGGTTCGTTTGCTCTCTTACCTAATCTTGTGCTGATACTAATGTCAAGACCACTTAACTGTCCTTCCACATATTCTATTTATGTGGATATGCCAACAATTTCTTTTTATTTAAAAAGAGGATCTTCCTCCACTATCCCACTCAGATCTTAAGCCATAATCAATGTAAGTGCTGCTAGGTCTTGGGTGGGGATGTGGGAGAGTAGGACCTCTGTTTTGGGTGGCTAGTAAGGGCAATGTCTAAACACACTGTAAGTAAACACATTTTTACTTTCCTGCAAACTGCCATGGTGAGCCTGGTATTCTTTCACCCAGGCATAGAATACTAAGGTTAGAAGAGACTCATACTAAAAGCTAGAATAAAACTGGTTGGGCAGTGAAATTAGAAATCTATATGAAGAATTTAAGTAGTTTTAAAATGCAAAAAAAAAAGAGTTACAGAAAAAAGAAGCTGGCCAGGCGCGGTGGCTCACACCTGTAATCTTAGCACTTTGGAAGGTTAAGGAGGGTGGATCACCTGAGCTCAGGAGTTCGAGACCAGCCTGAGCAACAGGGCAAAACCCCGTCTCTACTAAAAATACAAAAAAATTAGCCAGGCATGGAGGTGCACGCCTATAGTCACAGCTACTCCGGAGGCTAAGGCAGGAGGATTGCTTGAACCAGGGAGGCAGTTGCAGTGAGCTGAGATCATGCCATTGCACTCCAGCCTGGGCAACAGAGCAAGACTCTGTCTCAAAAAAAAAAAAAAAAAAAAAAAGAAAAAAGAAGCCAAAGAAATTCTGATGGCAGTCATCTTCCTTTTTTAATTTTTCTGCAACATTTTCAAATACAGATATCGTACACAATTTTTTAGCTCTTTGAAAAAAAAGCTGAATATAAATGTTTTAAATAAACAATATTTAGCAATTGTGAACACCTTGGTTATGACACATCAAACTTTTTTTTTTTTTTTTTTTGTGTTTTGAGACGGAGTTTCACTCATGTTACCCAGGCTGGAGTGCAATGGCGCAATCTCGGCTCACCGCAACCTCCGCATCCTGGGTTCAGGCAATTCTCCTGCCTCAGCCTCCTGAGTAACTGGGATTACAGGCACGCGCCACCATGCCCAGCTGATTTTTTGTATTTTTAGTAGAGACGGGGTTTCACCATGTTGACCAGGATGGTCTCGATCTCTTGACCTCGTGATCCACCCGCCTCGGCTTCCCAAAGTGCTGGGATTACAGGCTTGAGCCACCGCGCCTGGCCACATCAAACATATTTTAGATTTTAGTTTTTAAAAATTAATTTCTGCTCCCAAATAACCCAGTTCCCACCTTGCTTATCTTCAGTTGTAATTGTGTAAACATTATACCACAAACCTACAGTTCAAGATTTCATCAGAGTTAATTGATACAAAAAATAACCTTTAAAAATTTTTAATGACCAACATAGTTAAACACAAGCTTTGTTAAGTGGCAGGCAAACACAAGGTTGGTTACATGCCGTGAGCCTTCCCCGTAAACTTGAGTGGCTCATCCAACACATGTGTTTCTTGTGGTTTGAACATGATCCTGTTCTTGCCTTCAGCTGTTTTCTTAATTCAGTCAGTCAGCCACAGAAACAATTTACTCACATTGGGATGATCCACAGGAATGTCAAGGAATCTGGAAGATCTATGACAGAGGAAGTCTTCACTTGGACAATAAGCATGAGAGAATTTCCACGCTAGTAGATTCATATAAAATATTTGCATTTGCTATTTTTCTTATATCGCTATAGGCTCCAGTTCTCTAAAACAAATTACTCACATATACCAAAGCTTCAATATGTTTTGCTTGAAGTTTGTAGATTCATCTTAACGGATCCAGTATCAGATTAAAAAAACCAAACAAAACCTCTGTGTGGTATTTTTGAAAAACAGAGACGGTATGTATTTTTTAGCTATTTTTAATGAGAAAAATTTTCACAGCAAAGACAAGTTCTTGACCATCCAAAACAATAGATTGGTGGTGGATTTTAGAAAATATTATACAAAAGGCTTGACAATAATATAATCGAAAAAGACAATGAAATCGTTCAGAAATTTCTTTTTCATCTAAACAGTACTGAAAATGCTTGTCTGGGAAAACTAAAAACATTTTTTTAAAACTATTTAAAAGTTCAAAACCAACTTAGTTTTAAAAACTAAAAACATTTAAAAAAAATAAACAGAATACTCGCTTAAAAACATTACCCTGAGAAGTAAATTTGTGGTTACCTGTCTCAGGAGAAGCACCATTCCTCTATCAATCAACCAGGATCATCTAAAGTCCAAATCTCACTGCCTAACTTGTGTCAGACACAAAAGTGGCATGAAGGGAAATGTGATACGGTCCCGCCAGCGTAATGAAGGGTATTTACAGGGTTCCGTTGCAGATCCAGGGACAGTCATTTAGAACAGATTGCTCTTTCATATCAACTTTAATAACTCAGTCTGCACAATGTTCTTAGCCTGGAGGGCTGGTGGGGGTGGATAATGACTAAGATGACTAAGGAAATAGGCTTTCTTGATTTCTTCTTAGACTAAATGAAAATAGTAGTGAAGAAATTCTCAAGAATAAAGCATAAGGAATACATAAGACATCTATACACAGAATGCATATTACATGTGTAAATATCTTTATTTAGTACCACACTGGGACTATGGTCAAGGCATTTCTTAAGGTAAATATCGAAAAACAATCAATTATTACAATACTACCTGTTTGCTCCCCTAATTTTAAGGTGATTAAAGTTTTGCTATGTGGTTTGTATTAAAACACAACAAAGCTTCCTTTACTTGTGCTTTTGGTATGTAGTACATATTAAAGTTTACACTTTTCAAAAAGTATTATTTCCAAGAAGAAAATCTATTCAGAACTTTTTAAAGGAGCGCTCTGAGGCTAAGTTACTGATGAAATCTGGAACAATTATTATCTTGTATGTATTCCTCAAAGTATACAGTTAAATCCTACTTCTTACCACATTAATATAATGACTATATTAACACATAAATACACTATAGTCTTGGTAGAAATAAGTTAACATTGCTTAGCTATGTACTGGGCACTATGCTAGACTCTTTGTGTATGTTGTGTTTTATGTAATGGATTCCCTTAACAGTCTATGAAGTATATGCGTGGATTAAACGTGTAAAAAAACAAAGAAAGAAAAACAGTCTATGAAGTAGGTATTGTTACAATTCTCATTTTACAGATGAAAACTTGAGGCTTAGAAATAAGTTTAAAACTTGCCCAAGGTCACCAGACAAGTAAGTGACTGAGCCAAAACTGAACCTAGGTCCGGGCTCATAACTACTGCAAATATTCAAATGATTGCATTTCCAACATATTTGTGAAAAATTAAAGGTAAAAATCAAGAGAAAACATATCTTTCTTTTAGTAAATATTCTGAGGGAACACTATGTAGGGTTTTAACTTAATAATTTTTCTGACTGAAACCAACCCTGAAATTATCTTGTATGACTAAACAAACAAAAAGAAATGATAATTTAGAAAGAAAAAAGCAAATACTTGCAAATAAACTCTATATGCAATATTTTATCTGGGGACATGAATTAATATTTAGACTGGAGCGTTAGGCATTAGTGCAGAAAAATAGGACATTGGAAGCAGTCAGAATGCTATGACAGACCTATTTTTTTGTTTCTATTTGCTATAGTTATTGTGCTGAAACAATGTAAGAGGTTTGTTCTTTTAAAACTAAATTTAGGCCAGGTGCAGTGGCTCACACCTATAATCCCAGCACTTTGGGAGGCTGAGGCAGGCGGATCACAAGGTCAGGAGTTCGTAGACCAGCCTGACCAACATAGTGAAGTCCTGTGTCTACTAAAAATACACACACACACACACACACACACACACACACACACATACACACACAAAACTAAACTTAAATGTTTTGGTGTTATTTCTGAGCACAGCAACATGGGTTAATAAAGTTTTTACAAGTTAGGAAAATAACAACTTGAATAGTCTTTCTTGGTAAGGTTAGCCAGAAATATGCCCATATACCAGGCTCTGGGTGATTCCACACAGATTGTATTTTTGGTCTGCTCCGACACCTCCAAAAACAGTGTTCTTACTCATGACTCAGGTAATCACACTAATGCTAATGATGTGTGGGAAAGGAAACGGGAAATAACATTTCTTACAAGTGTATTCTAGGCTGGGGAGTAGCTTAAGTTATTCTCATTTAATTCACATAGCAACCCTGCAAAGTGTTGTTGGCTGCATGTTATTGGGAGGAAATAAACCTTAAGGAAACATAGTTTTCCCAAAGGTACCCAACCAGTGAGTTACACAGTTGAGTGGATTCAAACCTAAGCCTTTTAGAGTTTGTTGGTGTTGTTGTTTTGAGAAGGAGTTTCACTCTTGTTTCTTAGGCTGGAGTGCAATGGCGTGGTCTTAGCTCACTGCAGTCTCCGCCTCCTGGGTTCAAGTGATTCTCCTGCCTCAGCCTCCCAAGTAGCTAGGATTACAGGTGCGCACCACCATGCTGGGCTAATTTTTGTATTTTTAGTAGTGACAGGGTTTCACCATGTTTGTCAGGCTAGTCTTGAACTCCTGACCTCAGGTGATCTGCCCACCTCAGCCTCCCAAAGTGCTGAGATTACAGGCATGAGCCACTGCACCCAGCCTAACCTAAGCCTTTTAGTTTAGAATTTACTCTCTTTTCAATGGCCCCCACTGCTTTCTCATGAAGAATAATTTTTAATATTAGTTCAAAAATCAGAACTCACTCAAAGGGGGAAATTCATCATGATTTTCATATGTGTTGATGGGCAAGCAGACTATTAAAGATATCGCTTTAGTTTTATTGACTTTGTGTTTAGTAGAAACATGAAGGGAACAGAAAAATAGCATATGACTAAGCTCTAGGGCTATTTTCACAAAGAAGACTCAGTAAAATTGGTTGACAAAAATAGCAATGGCTAATACACACTTCTGGGAAGTTACCATCTTATTACATACAATTTGTCAGGAAAATAGTAAATGCCAAATGGAATGAACCTGTTGTCAAGGAGGGAAGAGTACAGAAGAAGAGCTTGGAAAACACAGATCATGGAAAATTCAAAATAAATTTGTATCTTATATCCTTATCCAAGTTCACGTTTTTATTTGCACACGAATCTATAAGTTTGGCGTTTTCCTGAGTCAGCAAACTTCCTGGCGAATAAAGGCAGCAGGAAGCCCTGCAAAATCTTTTTGTTTTGCTTTTTCATCCATTTTGCTCATCTCCAAATTGCTATTAAGAATGGATTAAAAAATGACCCAGCAATCCCATTACTGGGTATATATCCAAAGGATTACAAATCGTTCTACTATAAGGACACATGCACATGAATGTTCATTGCAGCACTGTTTACAATAGCAAAGACCTGGAACCAATCCAAATGCCCATCAACGATAGATTGGATAGGGAAAATGTGGCACATATACACCATGGAATATTATGCAGCCATCAAAAACGATGAGTTTGGGTCCTTTGTAGGGACATGGATGAACCTGGAAACCATCATTCTCAGCAAACTGACAGAAGAGCAGAAGATCAAACACCGCATGTTCTCACTCATAGGCAGGTGTTGAACAATGAGAACACATGGACACAGGGAGGGGAGCACTACACACTGGGGTCAGTTTGGGGGAAATAGGGGAGGGATGGTGGGGGGTGGGGAGCTGGGGAGAAATAGCAAGGGGAGATGTGGGTGATGGGGAGGAAGGCAGCAAATCACACTGCCACGTGTGTACCTATGCAACAATTTTGCATGTCCTTCACATGTACCCCAAAACCTAAAATGCAATAAAATAAATAAATGGGGGAAAAAAAAGAATGGATTAAAACAGCCCAAAGATTCATGATTCAATGTAATTATCACATGTGTTAAATATCTTAGGCCTCCTTTCCTTTCATCTTTCAGGCTAGACGGTGAGCTTTAGTTTGAAATGCAGATGAGAATGTCACTCAAAGGGGCAAGTAAGCAGATAATATTACAGTGAAGTTAAACACAAAAAGTTATCACAATTGGGATAAATTTAGCTGGGTATAAATCTATCTGTAGATAAGTCCACTGGCCTGACAATATTGTGCAAATTTTCCTCAAGAATAAGAAAAGCTTTGGTATAATCAGAAATGTGAGCATCCCAATCCTAGGAAATACAAACCACCATTCTGATCTTACCTGCCGCTCTTCCACACAGTTACCTATCTCCAGCCCAAATGTTCCACCAGTATGTCCTTGCCTTCTCTTTATCCCATGCCTTTGTTCACTGTCACTCCACCTTTTTTTTTTTTTTTTTTTTTTGAGAGGGAGTCTCACTCTGTCGCCCAGGCTGGAGTTCAGTGGCGCAATCTCAGCTCACTGCAACTTTCCAGCTCCCAGGTTCAGGTGATTCTCCTACTTCAGCCTCCTTAGTAGCTGGGATTATAGGTACATGCCACCACGCCACGCTAAGTTTTGAATTTTTAGTAGAGGCAGGGTTTCACCATGTTGGTCAGGCTGGTCTCAAACTCCTGACCTCAGGTGATCCGCCTGCCTCAGCTTCCCAAAGTGTTGGGATTCCAGCATGAGCCACCGCGCCCAGCCTACCTCCACTTATTATGTAACTAAACAACTACTTGTTGCAGCATTTCTCATATAGCTGAATTAAACCAGGTCTTTATTTATGTATTATCTACTCAACTAGATCAACTTTTTGAGAATTGAAGCTACAAAAATTTTTTCTTTTTTGGTCACGCAGTTTTTATCTCAAGGTATGACACAAAGTAGGTACACAACACATATTTGTCTGTGGCATGCCATAAAAATGATGTATAAACTGTCCTAAATTATTCAGTCTAACAACACATATTTACTGAACATTCATTATGTGCCAGGAAAGAACAAATGGCCAGACTCTCAGCAACATTAACTGATGTAATTATCATTAATGGCTATGATATTTGTTTAACACGAAAATGCTATTAAGAACTAAATCAAATGTTAAAAAAGAAAGCGGGGGGTGGTGGCAGCAGAAGCCAGGTGCCCCTGCCTGCCCTGTCTTTCTTCATCAAATGAAGAAAGGAGCTAAAAATGATTGTATGTTCACCATGCACCAGTCACAAACTGAGGAACTATATGTGCTTTTGGCTCAATGGATGCTTATAATTCTTGAGATAACTGGTACAGGGGAACTCTTGCTTTTGAAAAAGACTTGTGCTGTTTTCAGTGACCACCTTGGCCAAGAGTTCTTCCTTAGGTGCTCATAAGAGAAGTTTTCATACTTTTACCTCCTTCTAAACTGGCTTACTACTATTTTTCCTGACTACTTTTGCCCAACCTTTATTTTACATAAGGTCCTGGCTTTCTATCCACCCCACAAAGATCAGGCTCTTTCTTGCTTCCATATGCTACTTCTGATGAGTTTTGTGCTTCTTGATTCTGATCCTCATAGCTGATAGGCAGTTCTGTTCATTCTCATACGCTGGTTTTGGGGATCCCAGCTTAAGCCACAGACTGTTTCCTGTTTGCCCAGAAATAAACAGTACACTTAAAACACACACAATAGTCTCTAATTTCAATCAAAATTTCAACTATTTGTGACTGACTCCAAACTGGACTTATTTTGGAAAGGCAGATAAGCCAGAATGAATTATTTAGCTCCCTGAGCCACCCTAGCTTACCTCAGCCCAGCATCCACATCAACCAAGCTTTGTTGTTCATATTTAATTCGTTACTTAGTTTACTACAACAACCCGGGAAGCATAGGTCATTATCCCTATTTTATGAAGAATGAAACTGAAAAAATTATATACTACTGTGGTTTTTGCAAATTCAAGGATCTGAAAAAGTCTCAGGAAGCATACGTTGAGATTGTCCAAGGTATACTATATTATTATCCTTTTATATAGAGAAGGAGACAAGATCAGAGAAGAAATTGCACAAAGCCACTCAGAGCTGTGATTCACACCTAAGATTTACACAACGCTGAAGCCCAGCTCTTGTCTGCTACACCACGCCACATTTCAGAGGCTTGCACACTCATTAGTAATGCATTCAGAAACCTATTTGGAAAAAAACCGCAGAAGATGCAAAGTAACAACATGTAGACATCTGGTGATATTGGGATTACCTTGATTTCGTGACTTCCTCCAAAGTGTTTCCAAGTCCTTGGAAATCCAGATGATTCACTGTCTC